TACCATTAATTGTATTTTCTGGATAAAGCTAAGAAAAAAATAAGAAATGTACTTGTACCTATATTTGCTTATTGATTTATAGTACATGTAGATTTTATTGTATAAAGTCATTACTAGGTTCTAATAGGTTTTGGCTATACATGTAATGACAGGGAAATGGGAGGGGGAGAAACAGAATGATTGGAATGAAGAAGAAAAGAATTAATCTGTTTAAATTGTTTCTAATCAAAACAAAATACTCGTTTTTCGCAAAATAATTATATTTTCAGATGTTTGTCAGTGCTTATTTACCTTTTTTAAGTGCAGAAAGGTCAATATTTATGACACAAGAGTACGAAAATAAAAGAAAACGTCATATATTTCTCGTTTATTTTATCATAAAGGTATAATTTTTTCTTTGTTAAAATAAAGAGATGAATCATTTCTTTTAAAAAATATGAATTACAACATTTTCACACAAAGACTTTTTAAGATATTACCTGCAATGCATGTCGGAATTGTAAAAAATACGACATGAAAAACGGGGTGATACTTACATTCTGCTCCATTATAATTTTTCATGCGAGATGAATTACAATGAATTTGTCTTCATTTTAAAGACACAAGTCATATAAATTAAATAACTTTTGATTTTGAATGTGATTTGACATTTTTGGTTCTTTTTAGAGCATATTTGGGGTAGAATAATAATGTCTGAAAATAATCTATTTTTAGCTTTTCACACTGTTTTTGCACGTGTTCTTGTGTAAAAATAAGCATATAAAGGTACTGTTTTTAATACCTAAAAATTGAGAGCAAGTGGTCGGGAAAGACATGTAAAAATTTTGAAAATTTCACACAAAGACTTTTTGAACATAGGTCCCCCCTTAAAAGAGATGAGATTGTAAAAAAAGTGAGTGAACTCTTTTTCATTTCATTCATTTAATGGCAGTTGTTTAGTTTAGCAGGACAGCGGTCCGGTGGTGAAAGATTTTTTTTAGAGGGGGGGGGGGGGCACTTTTATATAAGGTGTGCATAAATTGACATTGATACTGACATAATTTTGGGTGATTTTATAACCATCACCATGGAAAGTAAAAATGCGGATTTTTACCCTTAAGTTTTAGTTTAAATAATGGAAATATTCTCAGGTTTTAAAAGTGTGGCCATCGGAGAACAAACATAAAATAAGGAGAATTGCAGACTCTTTTTCAGAAATGGATTTAAATTCGCTTATTCAAAGTGCTGCATCAAATATTCTTTTAAAGAGTGGAAAGTATTAATGTTGTGGAATGTTTAAACTCGGATTTTTTTTTCATGAATTTGCTATTTTGTAGCAACTTAATTTCCTTGGGTTTTGTTTTCGCCGAATTTTTTTCCTAACATTTTTATTGGGGGTTTCTGGACATATTTAACCACAATTTCACTCTTCTTTTTGTTTTTTTAAAAACCCTCCGATTTTGTTATCATTGCCGTCCGATAATATATTATCAGACTGGTAATTATTATCATCGGACGGCTAAAGGTAAAGTTTTAGACTGCAAGAACAAAGGCATGATGTCACAGCAATGTTTTAAGGCAGTGATAGCGATCGCTCAAACGACGGGGTGTCTCAATGATAAACAGACTAGCGATTGCTGCTGCATGTTGCCGAATTATTTTTCGCTAATTAGCCTATTCACGCTATGTTCTAGCTGTCGATGGGTTATCAATGTGTTTGTGCGTTTGGAAGATTTCACAAGTTTTTACGACCAATCAAATCGATGCAGAGTTTAAATGCAGTCCGGGTCATTTTTACGATAATCAAGTTTACTCGGGAACTGTCGGGGGAGAAATAATTTCCATTTCGCTTATTTGAACAATAAGTTTAAATTGCCTGTTAAAGAACAAGTACGTAGGAAATGCGATATCGAGACCTCTCTCTGTATTACCCCAAGGGACGGATCTCTAACCAAATTTAATGTGCAAAGTGCATTTGTCTAGTTCAAACTAATGATATTGTTATATGAAAATTTTGTCTTTTTCATTTAATTATTAAGTTTTTTTGCTTGTTAAAGTCATTCAAATTTCAACACTTCTTTTTGTCAATAAAATTATTAATAATAATGCTTTGCAAATTACTTGTACAACAGAAATTCGGGTGAGCAATAATTAAAGTCTTAGCTGAAAGAAGTCATCTGATGAATTTAAGATAATATTATATTTATATATATTTTATATTTTATTTATTCACATACTTCGAATTGCAGCAGCAAGTGTTTCATTTCTTATACGTGTGCCCGAAAACAACGTCAATCATAATCAGAATTTAAAGAGGTTTTACTTTCTAGATCTATTAAAGGTACTTGGACACAGATTTGAAGAAAAGTGGCAATCTTGTTGTGTATTTCTTTGATTTCTACTCTGAATAAAATCATTTTTCTGGATAAAAGTTTTAATATTTCTCATTAATACACAACAAGATTACCACTTCTCCTAAGGATTAAGAATAAAGTTGAAAATGCAAGGATGTGTCAATCAAACCCGGCAAAAAATTTAAAGTTTTAATAGCTTTTAAATAAAATAAGATTTTTAATTAAAATTTGTGTGAAATGCTGTTAAAATATATAATTTTTGAAATTATACTGAAAATATTAACTTCAAATCTGTGTCTAAGTACCATTAAATTTCACGACTTTTCTGTGGGGTTTTTATAAACACGTATGACTGCACCACTCCATAGGGCTACAGTGTTACTGTTACTGAGTGTAATTACGGCTGTCAGGGAACAAGTTAAGAAATACTCTGTGTTATCGATACAGTTTTCATCATGTGTAATACTTTTTTGCCTCGAAAATCACTAGATACATGTATTATGTTACGATAACTATTATATATACAAAGTGAAATATTGAGAAATTAGACGATGTGTTAGAAAATTAGAGTACATTTTGCGGAATTCTGATTTATATGTTTATTTTATTGATAAAATTTTTACTACAAGTGTCTAACAGCTTTTCAGGACTTTTTAAAAAAAAAAATTAAACGTTTTTATTTAAAGAATGATTTTAGAATGTTATAATAAAAAGGAATTTATTAAATTCTTATATGTCAAAAGAAAAGTTGTATCTTTCCTTGCCTTATGACAAGAAGTTATATATGACCCTACGTTTTTAAAACTGTTTATAATTAATTTTTTAACAAACTGTTTTAACTGATGGTAAAGAATTTGTGTATCCCTATAATTTAAAATATATGCAGTAAAATATAAAAAGCAATTTATCAAATGCTAATCTACACTGAAGGTGAAGAACACTGAGGTGATATATGTCGACCCTGTAATTAATATCTCAATACATGATATATCTTTGTTTATATAAAGAAACTTTTCATTATCTTTCAATGTTGTACATTTTGAAAGTTTAAATATATATATAAATTTTACATGACATAGAGTTCATTAGTGAGGAAATTATGCTAAAGCCGCATGAATTTTCCCTGTGGTATTTGATTTTCGATTCAAACACCCAATTCATGCATAAAGTAACGTTAATGCATGAACAAAGTATTGCCAACTGAAATCGTATGACCTGTTCAGTAAAGTGGAACATGCATGATTTAATCCCCCTTTTATCAAAACATACTTTATAATGGTGTCCTTGACTATCGATTTTTTTTTATTTTCAAGAGGCCTTGAAATTCAATGGTGTTTTGAAGTAGTTCATCTAATTGAACAGTCTTAAATTTAGAGACAAATACATTGATAAAGAAAAAGGATCTTTAGAAAATTAACGAGGGAAATTTCCAATTTATTAAATGTTGTTGTAAGGGACACTGTCCATCTATATTAGGAATCTTTACACTATTATATATCTTACTGTATCAAACAAATAAATGCCTAACAAACTCTTCAAATGTTCATGTGGCGTGAGCATTTTCCATTTGTTTCAAACGTATTAATGCGTTGCGTTGCCTTAAGACAAAACAGTTATCTGATACGATGATCATTTGTGTTGATATTACCGAGTACAGCTGATAATATTATATTTAACTTTGTTATTTTACGTAAAAATTAAGATGAAGGAAAATATTTACTATTAATCACCATACGTATTTGTCAATTAAACGTTTATCGTTGTTTTCTGTACACGATTTTGATATATTGTAAAAAAATTTACATTTCAATAAGACATCTTGAATAAGTAAATAAATATATTTACCAATAATAATAAAATCACTTACTTTAAGTAACAAATTAAGTCTCATATGCTAATACCATCAATTTAAACATCTGGTCCCTTGGATACATAATAAAAAGTGTAGATGCCTCTTCAATATGATGACCTACTTAGCGTCGGCTCGGCAGTACAGTCTGTATCTCCACAGATCATCAAGTGTCATATTCTCTGTTTTCATGATCGAAATTCTTTACAAATATCTGCTTAATAACTTTTCGATAGGCTTAGGCTAACTCGTACATGTATGAAGGCGTTGCTTTTATATTTGATTTGTTTGTTTTTATTTTTTTTTCAATAATTAGATTATTCTTTCTGTTCTTTTCTATCTGTTTGTGTCCCTTGAAAATATTTCTCGCCTCAAATTGACATCGAAATTTTATTTGTGTATTTAACTTTTGTCTTTCGTTTATTTTAAATTTTTATGACTTTTATCATTTTTGAATAAATTTACATAAATTATCGTCGAAGGTGAAAAAAGATATTAATCCTGTAAATAGTTTCACGGTAACAAGATATACCCTTGTTCGTGTGTTAGAAATGAATTTTGTTCAGTGTTGGCAGAAAAGCTGAGTTTTATTGATATGCATGTAATGAAAAGATTTTTTCTTGAGCAACTTTTCTGTGAATGTTTCTATGGGTTATTTTGCATGTAAAAATACCACAAAAAGTGTTTTTCCTCTTTCCCTCTTCTGAAGACAGAACTGAATGTACGGTAGGGTTTATAGCTGTATAACATATAAAAATGCATGTTAGAGGGCTTCTGAGTTATATATATTAAAATGCCTTTTAAATTTGCAGTTGAAATGAAGAGCAAAGAAGAACCAACATCAAAACTTTGAGGGAAATAGCGATGAAAAATGAAGAACAAAACAAACAAGCAAATAACAGGTGGAAAGTGATTACATATATATCTTTTTTGTCAATAATGTACACGCTTTTTCATACAGACTTAGAAGATGATTCATAGGTACATGTAGTTATCTTTAAAATTATTTAAATTTATACCTGAAAATTGAAATAATGTGAAGTTAACTGTGGAGTGAGGTGTTACTCTTTATTTGTGTAACATGTGTGTAAGTCTAAGATAATGTTCATGCATGCGTATTGTTCGACTGCAATATGTACAGAACGACGTTAGGTATCGTCACAAGACGACGAAGCCAATTTTTTTCAGATACAGTAGATGTGTTTATCAATACCATAACAATGAGTGATAATCAAGTACAATGCTACCTGTAAATACAATATCACAGATAGAGATATGCGAAATGTTATTTATGGTATAAATACAAGTAATATGATATTAAAAATATCATACAGATTGATCGATGTATTTGCTTTAGAAATTTTTATCTATTATATGGAACTGTGATTATCTAAGGTAAATTCTTCCCGACAGTCCTGAGAAAATGGGTTGCCAAAAGTTCCACTTGTCATCTAATTCGGATGACCAGGTTTTCTTAACTATGTAAGTTCAGAAGTTTAAGGCACTTTTCCCATTATGGTTAATTTGATTTGACTTCGTGATACATTTTCTAAAAAAGTTTTACTGTATTGGCTTCAATAATGGACATTAACACCAAAATTGCATTTTGAACTTTTGGGTATTGATTCTTTTTATATTTAAAATTTTTCCCTGTGTCACATAAGAATAATATTTTGTGTGATACGTTCAAAAAATAAAACTTTGTCTTTTCTCAGATGGCCACAGTATCTGTGTCCTCTACAAAAATTAAAATTTTTCAATTAAAATTTTGTGTCATATACAAATGTTAATGAAAAATTCAAATTTTTGCAGAGGACACCTGTGGAGTTTGCATTTTTCCTCCGACCACGTCTAAAATTCTTCATTCTACATATGAGGCAACTTCCTAGTCGTAATAAATTTTACCACTCACAAATCGATAGAAGAAAAAAATAGCATATGATGCTTTCTAAGATATTGAATTTTAACCGCATTACAGTACTTAATCTACAAAAAACATGAATATTTTTTCCTGCATTGTGGAGGGAAGCAAACTTTTCTCATGATTTTCGATTCTCAGAATACTAGTTAAATGCAAATACATGAAAATGTTATCAGAGAATTGCACTTTTAAAAAAATACTTTAAGTGGAACTGTTTGGAGAAATACCCCCATCCCTAACCCCACCCACAAAAAATCCTTAGGTGACAAATAGGATGTTATATCATTTTATTGTTAATTCATTCCAAATCTATAAGTCGCGAAAATTGATTTTTACCATCTTTTTCCAATAACTTTTCAAAGTTATTAAAAAAATTTAACTCAACCAAAATTCTTACTGATAGATGCAGTTATTTTTTTTTACAGGCTTAGATAACAATGGGATATCTTGACTTAAGAATCAGCGATTCATTTGAATGTTTTCTAATATGAATTTTTATGTTGACTCTTAATATTATTTCATGTATAAATCATATATTATATTCCATGCAGTGATAACAAATTATATCCCTTTCATATGACTCTTCGAATTCATATTATGGTTATACATCAAACTGATTTCTGAAATAGTAGAACCGCTTTACATTAAAATGTCTGAAATAGAAGAACCGCTTTACATTTCATTCTATTATCCATTTGAGTCTAAACTTATCGTTCTTGATTTTTTTCAGTGTTGGTAATAGGAAAAAAATGTGGTGAATTTAAAGTTGAGGATCATTACATCTTGAACAGACTGATGTATGAAAAACAAAATTGAAGAATTGTTTATTGTGTTTAAATACTTCGAGGTCAAATTGCATTATCAATTAAATAATTGTCTGGATACATTTTCATACTTTTTTTCATATCTTTATAGTATAGATTAAAAATAACAAAACTTGAGTGTTTTGACCTTGAAGTCCTAAAAGAGGAAATGAGACTCACCCAGAAATCCATTGTGGATATAATTATGGTATGCCTAAATTCTTTGTATGATTTTTATCAGCTCGTCAATATATAAATATATAGCAACTATATATGTCTCACAAAGATTAAAAAAATATTCGGAATACAAATATAAAAAAAATATCATCCTTTTGTGATTTTAAAATCTAGATGCTTGATATACATGTGTATTTCTATTTCAGAAATCTTTTTTTTTGTTTAATTTTAAAATTTGCTGTAAATAAAGGGTGAATTAAATGTACAAAATTTAGAAGAAAATAATACTCTAAAGGAATGTGATAAGTATTCAGAAGCACTATTTTCAAACTCAAAAGATTTTTTTTGTCTTACAAAGTGCATTTAAAAAAATTCATGGTTAACGAGAGATGATGTATAATATTTTTTTATGTTACTGAAACCACTTCCTTATTTTCAAGACTGTCAGGAGGTTCTTTTAGTTTATAAACTGAAATCAAATATTTATTTAGTCATGTTTAGCATTTTTTATATTTATATACATTTGAACATCGATAAACTCTCTTTGATTACTACTTTTATTTAACCATTTTTATCAAATTTTATCAAGATAACGTTAAGCAAAGAAGTAAATGAACTCATGAATAAATTGATATATTCATGAATAAATTGATAAAACAAAAAATATTGTATCATAAACAAGCATTCTGAGAGTATTGCATAAGCAATACATGTCCCCTACCAGGTTCCCCTTTTTCTTCAGGATGTCATTTTATAATATGCAAAAGTTATATCCAAGGTAAAACTGTATGATTTTTTTTAGGTCGTGAATGCCTGAAATAATCCACATGAAGATGAAAATTCAACTCATTTTTCCAACGTCTTTTACTCGCTTCATATTTATGTCGACCATCGGAATTAAGTTAGCGCAGCACGGACCCGATCTTAATTAAACGAATGCGAAAAATTCAAAATGCCATAATTCTGTCAAAAATTAATAAAGCGATGCGAAATTAAAACTTGATATGTAACTCATCAAGATACACTCACATTCAGCTCAATATCTGCAAGCGTTTAGAAAAAAATGCGGAAAACCAAGTGGGACAGACTGACAGACAGACGGGGACAGATAGACAGACAGACGGACAGACGCAGAGGAAACCTATAGTCCCCCCGGTTTCACCGATAGGGGACTAATAACATGATAAATGAAGAACTATGGATAAGAAATCCAAGAATATTAAGATAAAAAAAATAAATGTATGTATTATATTTTTTTTCAAAATATCATGTGTGTAAGTTTGATAACACTTTTCTCATGTTCTTTTATTTTCAGTGAAACTGAAAACAAAGAATACAACTATCAAGTGTGATTGGAAAATTTGCAATGAAGAGAACTTCCAAATAAAGGGTAGGAAAGTGATAGCATCTACTATTGTATTTTGTTATTCTACTTCCATTCTTCTGAATTATGAGGAAGAGAATTTATAATACCAGGTATATACATAAGAAAGTTTGCTTTTTATCTTTATGTGACCTGCTAATATGAATTTTTAAGTTCAGAAATGCATAGAAACAAAACGATTTTAGTGAAATGTTATTTGACATATTTCTAGGTGAATTTAATTGACAGTTGAAATTTACCAGAGAAAAGGGGAAATACCATACGAAAGAAAAATCTTTCTTACATTCTTATACTGAAGCTAAAATACAACGGGATATTAACTATCTTGGTATGATTTTATATATAACATATTTAACTTTACATAAGGACATTGAAATGAATAATTCAAATAATGCTTTTAACTAAAAGTAACTACGGACAGAACTCAGAAGGGGGAAAATCACTGATCCGGAACAATGTTTTGTTTCAACTTTGCTTATATTACTGTACATTTTCTGTTTAAAGATATGTATGCCGTATTAAACAGTATTTTTGCACAGCTGAAACCGAACAAAAATTTCTGGAGTATGATAAGCTACCAAAAATGAAGCATTCTTGCAAATTCGACGAAATTTTATTCGGTAATAACAAAGTACTGGTCAGGAAAAGAACACGATATTCCCATGCATATTTATAAAGGACTGACGTTTATCCTGGATCTGCGCATATGCGCGGGAAAAGCATCACGAGAATCATCAGGTCGAGGGAAATATTTTCTGTGACGTCTGATCAGTGAGGGACACAAATAGACCAAACAGCTCAATGAGTTGCATTTAATGCATTTATGGGTTACTACATAAAATACTACGTGTGTTTTTTCAAAAAAGCTAGTTTTTTAAATCGCTCTCAGAAAGATTTGATGCATTATGTACATTATTATCTACTAATCCCATGCTCAAATTTGCATACAAATGATTAACAATGATGAAAATTAAAGTTTCCCCTACTCCATTGTACAGGTCCGTTTGTTTAGAGTTTCCCCGTGCTGTACTGCTAGTGGACATTTTCGGTTGGGTGAACATTTACGGATCTTCAGTATGGAGCGCATTATGCGCAAAAAAAAATTATGTCAAGTACAATGTATGGAAAGTTATTCAAACTGCTATGCTTACACCCTGAATGTGATATAGTCAATAATCCCTTTTGGTTTTTTAATATGAACTACACAACATATATAGATGAAACTCACATACCATACATCTTGCCTTCTTAGAAATATAGTTGGGCTAATAAAATAAAATTGGTCAAGTAATTCCAGGCCTCTAAAAACTATTTCAGTTTGAGGGCACAACCAAGCATTTCGATGAACACCATCAAGAAAAATTAATTCAGGTAGGTAGCATCGTTTTTTTTTTAAAGTGGGTGGGGGATAGAACAGTTAGAATAAAAATCAACTAGCTCGAAGAAATCTGACAAGTAAAATAGGTTCCAATATCTTTCAATACTAAATTTTATTCACTACAATATACTGCCAAACTCCAAATTTCACTTTCGAATTAGCCCGAGCTAATGCTGATAACCTACTTGCAAGAATTTTTATATTATTTTCAAGGGGACAGAAATACTGTTGTTCATATGTAAAGAATATAATTATATTATTTAGTAGTATTCTGGTTTTGGCATTCGATATATTGTGCAGATTCATACATGATAGTCTGTGGAATACTTTTTGTTGTTTTGAACCATTAAGAAATGCAGTTCCGAATGTATCTAATAACCATTTTGATTGATCAATTTATATCATTTATTTGTATTAGTTATTTCATTTTGGCACAACATGGTTTCCACACTTCTTTATCCATAGTCGCTGACATCTATAGAAGTTCACCCAACCGAAAATGTCCATTGAAAAGACAATTGCACGTGATTATTCCTCGGTACAAAAAGCAACCAACTCTGAGGTGCTTTCAATATTGACAATCCCTAACTCACGTGTTTGTAGTAAAAACGTAGTAGACCATCATGCTTTTCGGTTCATTCACGAGATTGGACAATTGTTTGCTGTAAACACGCGAGACAACGTGATCATGAATATTTCAATAAGAGGCGGTTTTTTATCCGACACGGAGAGAAAATAATTTTTACCAAATAATATTTCATAACTTTTAAAAGTGATGGAGTGGAATTGTCTTATTTGCAGAAAGTATATAACTTATATAACTTGATGAGACACCACATATATTTATTACTTTTAAAATAAAACACAAATACGGCATATATAGCTTTAATATTCATGCTAAGTATGATTCCTATCAGCTCGACAATAGACCCTTTTCCTATGACATATTTTGCCTAAAATTTATTCCAATTAGCTGCCATCTTGTAGGGCAAAGTACTTAATTTACCTATGCTCAAAGGATCAACCATTTTCAAACATGCAAGTAAGAAATATACGCCGAAAAATATTTACAATCTTGAAATAATGAATTAACAGAGGCTTTAACAATGGCGTATTGATAAGAAAAACAGTGTCATATTTAGCTCACTAACCAGTGCAACTGTAGTAAAGGGATCTAGGATGTTGCTCTACAATATGGCGGCTAAGAGGAATATATGTCATAGGAAAAGGGTCTATAAAAATATGTTTTATGATTTATAATTATCCGCTATATATCATGCAAATATTTTTTTCTTAATTTTGGAATACATAAATTATACGTGTACATTACCATATGAAGATATTATGATAATACGTTGCAATGGGGAATGTAGTGTTTCCCCTATGGCACATATGTTATTTCTTAATACTGATATATGTAAAAGTATAGACATTTTTGTGTAATTTGCTTCAGATCCGTCCCACAGATTCTGAAAGTCAATGACAGTTTATTTAGTTGTATCATTACTGGTTCTGAATCTTGCAACTTTTTAATGAAAAAAAATAGCAATAGAATTTTAGCTGTATAAATGGGAAAAAAGAAGAGTACATATGATTCTACCATTTTCATTTTATGTGAAACATTTGTAATACAATTTTTTTCAGATGAAACATTCACATGTTCCTTTGAGTTTCACTTTCTTCATACAAAACAGAGAGAGTTTTACCATGAAGAGTCTGCCTATGATATGGTGAGTATTTGTTTTCTTTTTGTTCATTATTTGTTTTATCATTGAGTTTTTTTTTATAATATTTGATATATATGTGCATTTTTATTTTAAAAATCTTCTCTTGTTTCATTTTTTAATCATTAAATTTAAAAAATAAGGGGGAATAGAATGTATAAAGTTTAAAAGAAGCAATACTATCAGGCAACAGTAATATATTAAAATTTACTATTTTCAAACTCATTAGTTTAAAACACTTTTGTCTTGCAAAATGCATAAACAAACTGTATGGTTAAAGGGAGATAATCATTTTTAACGTTTAACTGAAACCACTTGAAATATCACCAGAATCTGCTAGTTTACAAACTCAAAAAATGATCTTGTCATTGTTTGCATAAACATTTCAAAATTACTAAAATTCTTCTTTGATAAATACTTATTTATATACCAATGAATGCATCAAAATGAAGATAAACAAAGATGTAAATGAATCCATGCTCATGAATGAACTGATACAACAGAAAAGATACACTGTTACATTAAAACATGATAAATAAAAAAGCTCTAGATAAGAATTCACCATCATAAGCTGTACAAATATAATTAAAAAGTACATGTGCCATTTTAATTTTATGTTTAACATTTGTACACTGTATTGCCAAAATAGAAAAAATACATTTTTTTCAGATGAAACATTCACACTTTCTTTTGAGCTTCTTTTTCTTCAAACAAAACAGAGAGGCTTTTCTCATCAGGAGTCTGTCCATGATGATTATGGTGAGTATAATTGTCGTTGATTTGTCTTATTCGATATTTCTTTTTTTCATTGAATTCTTTTTATATAATAAAACTCTGGATTTTTGAAATGCATTTGGGTAGTAGTATCTGTCTAGCATTTATTTAAAAAATCTTTCATTTTTTCTTAATCATAAGATTTACTATAAAGGGGCGAAGAAAAATGAATGAACAGATGTTAGAGGAAAACAATACTGTCAGACATATTGTATGTATTAATTAAAAAGTGTTATTTTTTAAACTAATAAGTGTAAAAGATTTTTTTTGTCTTGCAAAATGAATTTTCGTATCAAAAAGTGGTTAAAGGGAGATAATATATTTATGCCCATCTTCCTGATACTCGCACTAAAGGTTGCTCTGTTTGATGTAATATTATACTATCTGATACCAACACAACACCGTTTGAAGTTGAAAAAGGTCATTTATTACCAAATGACAATTTTGTAAAACTATTACAAAAATGAAAATGTAGTTTGATAGATTTACATTTATAAACCTTGCAGTGATACCAATATCACTACATGCAACTTCGAAATAGATCAAAACATTACTGTATAAAATTTTTACATCAAAGGTGGGGTAAGGTAAAAATGCCTTACCTACTGAAAAAAGAAATATGGAAAAATATTGTCAAATTATTCACATCAATTAAGAACACTATAATTTTTTAACTATTAGGGAGAGGTGGGAGGGTTGTTCAAAAATAAAATTGTATTTCCATACAAATATGGCGCTGCCACTGATTGTACTCAATCATATACTGAGGCTGTTCCAAAAACAAGACCGAACAAAAGTATTAGAGTTATCTCGCTTGTCCCACTTTCAATACACAAGAAATGGGCATAAAATTATTTATGAACATAAATAGCATTTATGCCCATCTTCCTGATACTCGCACTAAAGGTTGCTCTGTTTGATGTAATATTATACTATCTGATACCAACACAACACCGTTTGAAGTTGAAAAAGGTCATTTATTACCAAATGACAATTTTGTAAAACTATTACAAAAATGAAAATGTAGTTTGATAGATTTACATTTATAAACCTTGCAGTGATACCAATATCACTACATGCAACTTCGAAATAGATCAAAACATTACTGTATAAAATTTTTACATCAAAGGTGGGGTAAGGTAAAAATGCCACTTACTGCCAATGACAGGCAGATCTGAACTGTCATCAGCAGTAATCCCCACCCAACCCTAGTGCGAGTCTTAATCTTACTACAATAGAAGTATCCCTAAAATTCATACAAACCGGATACAAACAATGAAAAATAACACATTACCAACATACAAAAAAAGTATTTCAACTCTTGTAAACAATACCATATTATTATGCATTGTACACACACTTTGTTAGATGCATAATTACGTCAAAACTTTACTACTTCTTGATACAACCAGATGCTCCTGTCATCATGGTTGAAAATGTTTTTCTAAGCCAATGTCCTCTTTCCTGAAACAGATAATGTGTCACACTTGTAGATGCATAATTACATCAAAACTTTACTACTTGATACAACCAGATGCTGCTGTCATCATGGTTGAAACTGTTTTTCTAAGCCAATGTCCTCTTTCCTGAAACAGATAATGTGTCACACTTGTTCACATATTTTGACAATTGTCCAAACCCTCATATTCTCTATTACTGGTTTGATATTTATTTTACAATCAGATGCTCTTGTCACCATGATTGGGTATAATTTGTGACACCAGTAATTAACACACTTGATTGACATCAACCAAATAAATAACTCACTATTTTATAGGAACTCAACTCAAAGTAGATTTGAAATGTCATGAATTATAATCTGACCAGATGCTCTTGTCACCATGATTGGGTATAATTTTGTGACACCAGTAATTAAAACACTTGATTGCAATCAACCAAACAAGTTAACAAATTACTCACTATTTTATAGGAACTCAACTCAGAGTAGATTTGAAATGTCATGAATTATAATCTGACCAGATGCTCTTGTCACCATGGTCATAACTCTTTACCTCAACCTCACCTCGTGAGCAGTCAAAGGTTTACAAAGGGGATTCGAATGTACTTTTTGAAAGCGTCTAATGACCACCGCCCCATTGATTTAATTTTTTGCTCTAGAACTCCACTGGAAAAAGCCGTTGTTGCTGCTCTGATTCTAAAGCTGTGACCTTTATATCATTTACAATCTAACCCACACCAATTTAATGGCAAACATAACTGATCTGTACAATATTTCCGTGACACCGGTGACCCATCCATGAAAGTAAAAAGAGGACCAGAAGTTGGTTTTCGTAATTGAAAATATGTCCATAGGGCCTGAACAGGACATATTGTGTTATCTTTGCTGTCATTTTTCACATGCACAGTGTAAGTTTGACCTTTACCATGTTTGAAAGTTTTCATAGTCAACTCCAACCCTACTGGGCAGTCTGAAGTATTTTCTAAAAAATGTACAGATTGTATTGTCAATAAATGACAATTTCTGTCTTTTGAAGCTGTAAATTACAATCCTAAGAAAACAGTGAAATGCCACTAAATACACACTTTTCATAAGTACCTGTACAAAATATAAACTTGTTGTATATTGTAAAGAAGCTATCAGCTGTTTAAGAATGATTGGTGTTATAGGTAACCTAGGGTCCCCTAAGCTTGTCTTATTCTTGTAACCTTGTAAACATTTTTTCACTAAAAGTTGGGCCTTTCATATTCCTTATCTTATGTTGAATACTTAATGCTGAAACATAGGTTGCCAGTAACAATAAGCTATAAACAAAATGATATCTTAAGCTTCTGCTTTTGCTGGTACACCTTTCCTTGGCAAAGCAAAATGATGACACCAAACAATGGCAATATTCAATTGCCCTTTGATAAGTATTATGAGTTGATGCTGCTAATGACTGATTTATTAGATCTGAAGCTATTGATTCTAAACTTTGAGATTGTCCTCGTTGTTATGGCATGCTACAGGGTTGTTGTAGGAAATTTTTTGTAGGGACTGTGGAATCTGCTGGCGAGAAAGATGATCAGCTAAAACATTATCTAAACCCGATACATGTCTTCCTTGAAATAAAATATTGTGTTTAAAATATTGCACTACTAAACGACAAACAAGAACCATTTGTCTTTACTTTAGGTTTGTTTGTTGATGATGTGCACAACAGCATCATTATCCGTGAAAAATATTTTAATAATAACAATCAATTTTCAAACTGATCTGCCCAATGCTGAACTGCAAGTACACTGGGAAATAACTCCTTTTATTGTAATATGATAGGTTTTCCAGGTTTTAGGCCATATACCACTAAAATACTGATTTCGTAAATAACCACTGAAACCAATGTTACTTGTATCCATATACAATTGTAATGAGTCAGAATTGTCCCATTGCTCTGATGAAAACAGTGACTTGCCATTGAAATGCTCCAAAAACAATCCCCAAGCATTTAAATCCGCTCGAGCTTCCTTATTCAATCTCCTATGATGAAAAGGTTGAGTTTACTCAATTAACAGATCAATTAGCCGCCTAGGAAATGGGCGTCCTGGAATGACCACTGAACAGGCGAAGTTTAACAGACCTATTACAGACTGTAACTCTAGTAATGTTATAGATTTTTTAGACTTGTGAATTTGTATTAGGTGTCTAGCTTTAGTTAACTTGTCTTGTGCTAAACATGACTCCATCAAAATAGAATCCAACTCAATACCCAAACATATAAGCGAAGCACAGGGAAGGACAGTTTTTAACTCCTTAATTGGAATACCAATATCCTTGAACAAAAACATGAACTAGTCTCCCATGTAAGCCTAACTTGTTTTCACATACCCAATGTACTGCAGTACTGAATTCTTCAAATAACTGACAAGAAAAATTAAGTCACATAGGGAGAGTTTTGTCAAAATAGTATTCATTTTCTAAAGTAAAACCCAACAATTCCCAATCTGAACAATGTATTGGAACAATTTTATATGCATTCTGAATATCCAATTTAAACAACCCGCAATTTTTCTCATATATGCGCATTCAACCTACTGCATCTTCTACCTCCTGATATTGAACAGATTTGAATTGATTATGAATACCAGAAACCCAGAATTTAGACCTACTTTGGATTTACCCAAACTGATAGCCAATGCCTCACTATGGATTTCTGAATTTAATGTTTGCATTTTGGGCTTTATTTCACACTCCCCTTCTAAGATTTCACTGATTTCAAAGCCTTTATAATTATTCTTATTTTTGATTCCTAACAAATTTCCAAATCAACAAATTCATTTCCCCAGATTTTGCTTTTTATCTTAGAATCTACACCGAGACCCAATGGCTTAATGATACTGGGATTCTTAACCCCTGCGCTAAGCGATAACTCCTTAGATGCTGTTTGTTAATTAGTACCTGAATTACTTGGTAAAATTGCCATCTTCTAATTGGCTTGAATGATTGTTGCTTGTTGGAGTGTCACTTGCGACTTCCTCTTGTTGTAAATTAACTGGCTTTGTAACCACCCCATAGTCTGTAGGCCTATTACCGGTACTCATCTCTGTAAATGGATGTTAGCATGTATGCCTAATTTATACAAATCATGTCAAGAATTCAACCTATCTATGACTGATAAAATTATCAGCTTTTGATTAATGTGGCAAAATTATTGTTGATTTACTCATCCAAATATTAGTCCATATCAGGCAATAGGATAAAATTACCCATTAGACCTGACTCTAGGGTAGTTCTTTATACCAATTATTGTTTAAATCTTAAAACAATCTGTATAATTACAGTGCACTAGTGAAATATAGCTACACAATGTATCAAGAAACCATTGCAATATCACTAATTAATTCACTATCCCTAGTGAAGCATAGCGATAGAATTATCGCATTTATAACTTGATAGAATTATCAAGATTCAGCACTGATCAAGACGTGATAAAATTATCACTAATTGTAAAGCATAGCGATAGAATTATCGCATTTGTAACTTGATAGAATTATCAAGATTCAGCACTATTGAAGACGTGACGCAAAAAAGTATATGAGATATACTGAATATACATACATGTATTGTATTGTAAGTTACATACAAATATATAATTTATACATATAGTTAAAGGCAAGAAACTGGGAAAGAGGTATATAATTTTTTATGCTTATCACAATATCTTCAATTAAGGTAAATTACTAAGGAATCCAGCAAGTGATCTAAGGATGTTCATAAATAATTTTATGCCCATTTCTTGTGTATTGAAAGTGGGACAAGCGAGATAACTCTAATACTTTTGTTCGGTCTTGTTTTTGGAACAGCCTCAGTATATGATTGAGTACAATCAGTGGCAGCGCCATATTTGTATGGAAATACAATTTTATTTTTGAACAAGCAAGTTGGCTTACAGCGTGTCCAGTGCACAGTTAATACATTGTGATGGACTTCTCGTGGTGTGATCTTTTGGATTTCCAAGGAATTCAGCACATTTGTAAGTGTTAAAAGACGAGACTTTATGTATATGTATAAATTATATATTTGTATGTAACTTACAATACAATACATGTATGTATATTCAGTATATCTCATATACTTTTTTGCGTATTTGTTTTTTTTAACAATTGCTCTTTATTTGTAATATCATCATCATGCTTGTTCTATCATTTGGATCCTCCTCCTTCTATTTGTAAATCTTTTTGCTCCTCCGGGGGCCCAAATTGGATTAATAAAATCTTGTATCTTGTATCTTGAACATAAACAGCATTTATTTAGTTTACGTTTACTTAAACCACTATTAAATCGTCGGGAATATCAGGAAGATTTACTAGTTTATAAATTAAAATCAAATGTCCATCTAGGCATGGTCGGCATGTTTAAAATTTATATGTGTACATTTCTTAATTATTCACAAAACCTCTTTGATAACTATTTATTTATCTAATCAATCTAAATGAATTCATGAATGAATTAATGAACAGAAAGGTACACTGATCAATAATCAATATATATATAAAAACTCTAGATAAGAAATCCAAGAATATTTAAATAAATAAATATGATATTTAAAAATCAAATTTATGTGTATAAGTTTTGAGAACTCTTTTCTACTTTTTTCCTTCATCTTGATTTTTTAGTGAAACTCAAAGCAAAGAATACCAGCATCAAGTGTGATGGAAAACTTTTCAATAAAGGAAATTTCCATCTAAAATGCCGGAAAGTAATACCACCAATTTTGTCATGTTCTTTTTGCATTTTGTTAGAGTTTATGTGAAGAGAACATGTGAGAGTTTGCTTTTTATCTTGATGTGAAGTGCTAACAGGAATTAAATTGGATAACAAAAAAAAAAAAAAAAGATTTTTTCTTAAGGTTAATTTAATTAAGAATTGAAATTAAACAGACAATAGGGGAAATATCATACTAAAGAAATACTGCTTCTTATGTTCTTATACTGTACGTAGCTAATATACAACGGGATATATTTGCAACAAAATGAATAGAGAAAATGAATAAATATGTCAACATTTCATGTTCTTATTTTCAAGACTTTTTAAAATTATTCAAACATCGTTCTTGTAGAAACGGATCTAGGAAAAGCATTTGAAGGCCTCGCCTAATGGCGCTTTAAACACTGCACACTTAAGTTCAGACGAGACGTTCCTCAAATCTGTCTTGTATTTTTTCGTAATGTAAGAAAAATATTCAAAATTTTAATAACATTCTAATTTCTAAACCAGTTTCTAAACTTTTTAAAAAAATCCAAACACTTAAACTTGTGAAATTGGAATTTTTTTTTCTTCCATTAAGGATTATATAAGAAAAATTACCGCTGCTATCTTGCAGACATGCCTGGTAAGGTTCCTCAATTTTTTTTTTTTGTAAACATGTTTTAGTAGCAATACTTCAATGACAAACTCTGAGAAAATTTTTTCTATTATTAAGGAACGTCTCGTCTGTCCTTAACAGCTCAATGTATAGGGTAGTATTATGCAGTTAGTCTGACCTGCCCTTAGATAATTGTTATTTACAGTGAATTACATGATTTGTGATTTTTAATTGTAGATTAAAATATTTTAGCATTATATAAGACCAAGAGTAAGAAATTTAACTAATTTTTTTCATTAATTTTCCCAATGTAAGAAAAAAACAGCAATTTCTGCTCACAAATAGTCCATTGTCTTTGGGCATTTTTACTGCCCAAATAAGACACGTACCCTATGTTCTAAATGAATGAAAAGGTCTCAATATGCATATCTTTAGATGATATATTTTTTCTAAGTCCAAAACACAGTTTCTGTTAGTGTTTAAAGCTTCCTTAAGTTGTTTAGATGTTCATTTTTGAAGAAAGTTTCTTAAAACTATTGAAAAATAATGTTTTGATAAGGATTTTCATTTATTTTTCAACATAGTGTACCTGCCAGACTTCTCCTCTAATAACGCTAATTTTTTAATAATGTTAAAACAAATGAAGAACACCTTGTATAAGCATGTATTAGTAAATAGCATTCGTAAAAGATAAACATTAAATGAATGAATGTAACAATTGTTTATCAATAAATAACTTCATTGTATCTAAATGTCAAGTTGAAGGAACAGCAAGTGTTTTCTTCTTCTCATGCAGAAGTTTTTGAATAAAGTCTGTTTCATAAAAAATAAAAATATCATTAAGATTTACTTAAAATGAGAATTTTGAAAAATAAGTATAAAATGTAGAAAATTTGTCTTCAATTTTACTGATCATCATTTTTTATATTAATTGTCTACTAAATATATACACTGGTGTAATTAAGAAAATATTTCATTTTTAGTTATGATATTCAATAATGTATTAATTTTTTCTATATGTTACAAGAATGAATACCTATATGATTAATATTTATCAGTATGGCTAATTTTATTGCATGTGCACATACATGTGCGAAGATTTATTGAACAATTATCGAAAATATATTTCAATAAAATATACATTATTTCGAAATGCCTAATACTAACAAGAACTATTCAATAAAGGTTGATAATCAAAGCCTTTGAAATTTTCTAATGACAAACACATTATTCTAGCTGATAGAATTTGAAGAACAACAAAAATTTACTGTATTGGCGGAACTGTCATGGCTTTTATTACAAATTACATTCACAGATAACATGCAACTGACATGTTCATTCAAACATAAGCAACATGCAACTGGCATGTTCATAACCTATGCGCCGATCTTACAACTGGTAAGCATTTTGGCAGCATAGCATTCACAAATATCAAACAAACCATATGATAGCTGGGGGACCTGAACAAGATGGGAAGTTGAAAAGACCAAGCACATGCGCATCAAAGCTCAAGTATTATTGACCCTAGAACCGTAACGATAGAACCGCATAATTCCGGAAAACGGTTTGCACTTTGTAGCTATTTATTATCTCAAAAAACCAAGCCATAAACGGCCTTCTCAATAACTGTATTTATCTTTTAGGGATAAATCTGATTATGCACAATATGTAGAAAATAGAACACTGAGTTTTTCTGTTTAAAATAGTCACTAATTCAGAACATAATACATCCTTATTATTTGTAAAAATAAGGTATAATATACATACAATATTTAAAATAATTATATTAGGAATGAGGATTTTTTATGATGAAAACCTGGTTAAAAGTCCAAGTGAATTTCTTTTACAAAGCCAGTATTAGACCAAATACCATTAAACACACAAATCCACCCATAACAAACAATCCCATCATTAGTTTTCTGTTCTTTGCTTCCAGGGCCTTCATGCCATTGTGCTCTGACGACAGGTTGCTCTGTAAGACATTGTTACGGCCCTGTACCAGCTGAAGTTCTCTCTCCAAGACATTGTTTAGAGACTTTTGCTGTTGTAACTTTCTTTTGCATTCCTCCATCGCAAGGAGAAGTTGACCTGAATAAAAGAAGGCAGATATATAAAGAACATGCTAGCGTTCCGAGTTTTTGAAATGAGATTCCCTTGTAAAAAAATGTTATACTGTAAAATGAGAATATTTGGCGCACTACTAATTTTAGCGCCTTTGGCGCAAGAGCCCGTGAGCGCTAAAATTTATTGTGCGCTAAAGGATTTCTAAATATCGCTTTTTGTGTGTTGAAAGTTTTTGCATAAGTACATGTAAACCGGAACGCGCGATTACGTAATGTCGAAGGGTCATTGGATTTTAAATACACACTAGCACTGCATATGTTCGGAAGACAGAAAGTTCTTCCAAATTATAATTTAATCAATTAAACTATTATTACCCCGGTAGTTGTTAACCGATTATTTTATTAGCACCTTCAATGTTTGGCTTCTCGGCGTGTCAATCTTTCATCGCCTCGAGGTAAACAATGCAATCAAGCATGGCGATTGAGCTTGCAGACAATACCTGATTAGGATTACCGTTTTATCTAAGTAATTTTCTGTCGATGCATGCATTGTTTTAATATGATTGAAATGAGTAAATACTCCATTTCTTTTAGTTGAAAATAGAAATAAAATAAATTTTAACATTGTACCACGTCCATGTGATACACATGTAGTAATATTTACATTCAGTGTAATTTTCCTCATAAAATCCGTAAGAAATCCTCGACGTTCAAATTTCTATAACACACGCGAAACCTTGTCACCGCGCGTTAGAATACACAGTAGGGACTATATGCAATTTGAATACTCTAGAAACACCAAAATGTAGAATGTTTTATTTCAATTTAATGAAAAACTACAACCCTGAAAAATTAACCTAGAAATTAACGTAATGTGCATTAAAAATTAATTTGTCACTTTTTTAATCGCATTGTTTGTTTGCGTAATTTAACTTTGCAACGTCACTTAACGTCATCTGACGTCACAAACGGCTCTTACGTCTATTAACCACGATAGTTTTGAAGGGCCCTAAATTCACATTAAATGTTAACGAAATAAGCAATTATGAAGAAGGGAAATTAGAGAATGTATATATAAGCATTGAATTCATATTTTTGGCTGTCTTCGGTCCTATAACACACCTGGCCGTGCCGACAAATTTATCATACCGCGCTAACGCGCGGTATTCAATTTGTCGGCACAGCCAGGTGTGTTATAGGACCGAAGACAGCCAAAAATATGAATTCAATGCTTAAATGAATGATAGCAACATGTACCGTGGTAAAGTTAACGAACGTTTACTGATATACGGGAGTGCTAATGTTTTTCTGTGCGGGTGTGGATTAAAAAAAAACAAAATGTCACATTTATATATTGTACTGACAAGTGCAAGCGCTGAAATTTATTTGCGCCAATGCATTCCAACTTGCATTTACGCTAAAATACGTATGCGCCAAATGTTCTCGTTTTACAGTACACCCTTAGGCAACAATTTGAAAAGTTACACCATATTGTTAACCTATGCAGAATTTTGTTATATTGAGAACATGAGCATAATGTTTGTTGTGTTTAGCAATTAAATGTTAATTTAGTGTAGGAACTGAGTAAAAAGAATACACTATGATATAACTCTTTCAAAATGATACGCATATATTTGTACATTAATTAAAACGGTCATTTAATTTAGTCATCAATTTTGTAGAAAATTACCAAATAAAGTAGATGTACAGCGTATGTATATATCATGTCCCTACAATTTACAATATACGTGTAACTTGATAACATGACAATGCAATAAACATTAATTTAAAGGGGGATGCCACACCAACTCTTTATTTTATAGATCTTTGAGTCATCCTATTTTAAACAATGGTTTCAGCATTGAAAGGCCGATATTAGCTCTTTATTATTTTATATAATTTTTTTTGTATTTTTTCAAAGAAAATGAGTTATTTTCGAGTTAAAAGTTTGCTGTAAATGAATGCATAATATGAATATATAATAAATTATGTAAAGAAAGGCTGGTAAGACTTTTTTTTTTATAAAACATTATTTATGAAAATAAAACACATTATTTGTGAATATTTTTTAACCTATGGTTAAAAACACCATAAAACTAGTCACAACTGAGGACAACATGTTTGTCAATCATATTTTAAAAAGAAATTGAAACGAAATTGAGAAATTTTAGAGAAATTAATTTTTTTAATATTTGGACCTAACCCGATCAAAATTAACACAAAATGAATAAAATGCTAATTTATTGCCTCTTCATGTATTTACATTGAAGAAATCTATTTTATTGTCAAGTTCAATAATGTTTTAATCCCAATTACACCTAATCAGACTAGTGCTCTTGGAAAAATATTATTTATACAATTATTGTACAATTATGTTTGGGATCAGTTTAATTTTGATCGGGATTGGCCAAAATTAATAAAAAATTAATTTCTCTAAAAGTTGGCCATTTGGTTTCAGTTTCCTTTATAAATATGATTAATGAACATGTTCTCCCCAGTTGTGACTGGTTTTGAGAAGAATTTAACCACAAGTTTAAAAAATGTTTACTAATTATGTGTTTTATTTTCATAAATATTTATTTAAAATTTTTAATATCTTTAAGGCTTTTCTTTACAAATTTTATTTGGTATTCATTTGATGCATTCATTTACAGCAAAATTTTTACAACAAGGCATCTAATTTGGATGCAAATATTTTTTTCATTTTCTTTGAAAGAATACAAAAAAATCTATATAAAATAATTGAGAGCTAATGTTGGCTTTTCAATGCTAAAAGCATTGTTTAAAAAGGTTGACTCAGAGATCTATAAAGTAAAAAGTTGGTGTGGCATTCCTCCTTAAACACAAGATTTTAGGTGGGTAATAAAATGACACATAGCAGCAAAAACTTACTGTTTTGACGCGATTTTCGGCATAATTACGATAATCTAATAAAAAATCCACATTGAGATTTAGGTTTAACATTTTAAGTACCTGGTGTTTTACGGGAGGAGTCACAAACTTCATTACCTTCAAGAACTGGTAACAAACAGCCAAGCTCTTGTACTGTAGGACGACGTCCTGTGAAATATTGAAGGCACACATAAACCCAAAGACTAGAAGTCTGTAAATCTATGTTGTAACATAAAATTAAAAAAACAATGTGGACTTTCCTAAATGTTTTAGGACAAGACATCCTCTACATCTATAACTTCATTTTTACTACATAGATAGTTATTTATTATACACAAAATTCTTATTTATTTTTTTTAACATAAATTGTAAATTTTGAATTGACTCTTCATAACATAAAACGTTTTAAAATTGATAGATTGAATGGCAATAAAATTCCACATGAGTTTAAAAGAAACATGGCGATGATCTTTTTATTTCTTTAATTCGTGAAAAGCATTAAATAAAGTGTGAATCAGGGCAATCACAAATGCAATGCATGCCCAGCATATCTATAAATCAAAACAGCATTCAATATCAATCCCAATGCAAATTACCTCACTTCCGTTTCATATAAATACATATTATACACTAACAAGAGGTCAATGGTCCACATCGCTCATCTGAAAAGCTTTGACCATTCTATTCTTTACCAGATTTCCCCCTAGTAATATATATTGTGGCCCACCCTACCCCAGTGATTATAATTTAGACAAATTTAAATCTACACTAACCCAAGGTGCTTCCACACAAGTTTCAGCTTTTCTGGCCCAGTGGTTCTTGAAAAGAAGAGTTTTAAAGATTTTTCCTATATATTTCTATGCAAAACTTTGATTCCCTATTGTGGCCCCGCACAACCCCCGGGGGTCATGATTTGATCAATTTAGAATCTACACTACCCAATAATATTTCCACAAAAGTTTCACATTATCTGGCCCAGTGGTTCTTGAGAACAAGATTTTTAAAGATTTTTCCTTTACAATTCTATGTAAAACTTTGATTCCCCATTGTGGCCGCGCCCAACCCCCCATGGTCTTGATTTGAACAATTTAGAATCTACACTACCTGCAGATCTGTAGCGTTATGGGTTTTTTTTTTATATTTGTCTTTGACCATAATGCTACAGATCCCATAGTGCAAAAATGTGCAATTTACGGCGCAATATTTTTGCGCTCTTTTGGTGAGAATTTCTCCACTTTCTAGCATCGGTCAATCAACTACCTTTCAACTTCCAATTGTAAACACATTTAGTAGCCAACATATAATAGTTTATCCACCTCCCAACCATTTTTGTTTGTCTCTACAGGCAATAAATTCGCTTAAAGTGAAGTTTCAGTTATCTAACAAATAATTTTAATCAAGCGAGTCGATTATTTGTATAGACGACTATAAAGGGTTGGGAGATGAATCAAATACACAGATTAGTTAAATAATGTGTCTAGAATTAGGAGTTGAAAGGTAGTTGATAGACCGATGCTAGAAAGTGGAGAAATTCTCCAAAAAAGAGCGCCAAAAATATTGCGCCGTAAATTGCACATTTTTTGCACTACGGGATCTGTAGCGTTATGGTCAAAGACAACATATAAAAAAAACCCATTACGCTACAGATCTGCAGCTAAATCTACACTACACCAGGATGCTTTCACATACGTTTCAGCTTTTCGGGCCCAGTGGTTCTTGAGAAAAAGATTTTTTAATGACCCTACCCTATTTTTGTCTTTTCTTGATTATCTTCCCTTGTGAGAAGACTTGACCCTTCATTTTAGCAAATTTAATTTCCCTTCCTTCAAGGATGCTTTGTGCCAAATTTGGTCAAAATTGGTCCAGTGGTTCTTGAAAAGAAGTCGAAAATGTGAAAAGTTTACAGACGGACAGACAGCTAGAGGGACGGACGGACGACGGACAAAATGTGACCAGAAAAGCTCACTTGAGCTTTCGGCTCAGGTGATCTAAAAACTTCTGAAAGCATTTCAGTTACCCACCTAGCTCCTTCATAATGTGTTTGTACATGTGGATCATATCTGTCCGGGAATAATGCTTAAAAATGTTCATGTGATGCGAAGCATCTTCTTCGTGAATATCATCCCATCCTACAAAACGTGTCAAAAGAGAAGTTATCGATTTTCACAGTTGCATAAATTCAAGATTTAATATCCATGGGAAACATTTGATTTTAGCTATAATTTATTGTCCATTTTAACGATTTATAGAATTGCATTGATTGTTTAAAAAACAATGGAAGATAAAATACAAGATGTTTTTGTGAAACACTGATGTCCCCGTATATTGGTACCCAAACTAGGGACTTCTCACAAGAAACTCAATTGTGAAATTTGAAAGTCCTATCACCACCTGTTCAAAAGGTATGGCCAAGAATATGATTTTGAAAGGTAGGTAAAAGGGTAAAAATTGTCGGTTTCTTAAGAAATGTGTTGCCACACGAATTACATATGTGAAGTATGCAATCCCCAGCCCTAACTGTTCAAAAGTATAAGTTATGGCCAAGGTTACAGTTTTTTTTAAAAGTTGGTCAAAGTCCAAGGTCTAGGTAAAAGGGCCAAAGCTCTTGATTTCAAATGAAAGGTCTTTTCATAAGGATTACATATGTTAAGTACGAAAGCCTTATCCCAAATCGTTCAAAGATTAATTGTTTTTAAAAAGTAGGTCAAATTCGTCAAGGTAAAAGTGTTAAACTCTGGATATCAAATGAAAGGTCTTGTCACAAGGATTACATATGTGAAGTATGAAAGCATTAGCCCTAACCCTATAAAAAGAATTGTCAAGGTTTGTTTTTTTTAAGCTGGTCAAACTCCAAGGTCAACGGGTCAAAGTTCTTTGTATTCAATGAAAAATCTTCTCACAAGGATAACATATGAATATCGTTGATTTTTTGACAGTTTAATTATTTCTTGTATAATGTTAATCTATGCACACTTATCTTATGTTTTGTTTGCCGTATTACGACGTCATAATAGTATGACGTCATATACATTATCACGATGTCATGGCCAAGGTTATTTTTTTAAACGTAGGTAAAGTATCAAAGCTCTGGATATCAAATGAAAGGTCTTGTCACAAGGATTACATATGTATCCAAAGTGTTCTTGTCAACACCGTAGGTAAAAAGCTATATACATGTACATTATCATGTATTTATTTTAATTTATTCCTGTGAAAAGAATTATAATTTGACTTTTTGTTTGTTGTTTGCTGTATGAAGGCACCTTAAAGCTGAGAGAGGGCTGCAAATATATACATTAATTTGTTCGGCACTGAGGGCCACTGAGACGCAATGAGGGAACTGTCTCAATCAATGTAGCGACTACTGCGACACGGGACCTCGATCGATTTATACCATCTCATCCGCAGCACTGGTCTCCATGTCCCGCAGTGGGATTCAAACCCGCGACGTAAGGATCAACTCCGTACTCTGCGACTCCAGATTTATATTACCGTTATAGCAGACTTTTGAGCGAGGATCCAATTTTGACATTTTTAGCGAAGGTGCTAAAATTACTAAAATTGAATATCGCTAAAATTTAACTGTGTTTTATTTGTAATAGTTTCTTTAGGCTAGTGAAAAATTAAAAATCGCTAAAATTGGATCTCACTAAAAATAAAATACCAGAAGAAATCACTAAATTTGCTTCTTGCTAAATTTTCCACCTATATGGTATGTGTTTACAGCCTATATCCTATTTAGTACAGTATGTAAATATACTATTTACATACTGTAAACTATTTATATACCGAAACAATCATAGGCGATTTAATTTTTTTGTTTTTACCAGATATTCCGACATTAAAAAGAAAACACTGTAGAGGCATAATTCAATGCAAGCGGTTTAACAGATTGTATGATAAGTAATGCATCCTGTCCTAAAACAATTAAATTATTTTTAAAAAGTATTTTCTTTGACATTTCGAAGAATTGTCGTTGTCTTCATTAAGGAATGACTCTAATTCTTGGCCAGATTATCGAGTATAATATGGTTTGGGTCAGTTTACGCTTTATAATCCGCGAAGCGGATTATAAAAAAGCGTAAACTGACCCAAACCATATTATAATCGATAATCTGGTCAAGAATTTGAGTCATTCCTTATAATTTAATTTTAAAATAATTAAACAACTGGGGATGTAAAATTGTGTTGTTTTTATTAGTTCAAATTTACCGCGCAATAATACAACCGTAGTAACGGAAGTGATGGGAAGCAAGGGGAGGTAAAAACTGATACATAGATCTAGCAGCCATGATGCTTGTTTACATGAGGTAAGATCGAGCAACTGTTTGAAGTTAAAGGTACATTCATTAAATCTGGAATTTTTCATGAATCCGAAGGACTGGAAATGAGGGGATTGATGGATACAGATGATTCAGCTGGTTGTCAAGGGGGTGTGTCCCCATACCAAACCAGATTATACAAAATGTTATGCGTTCCTTTTTGGAAATCAACCAATGAGAGACAAGAATACAAACAGAATTAAATTATTTTTGATAGAAGTATGATTTTGACATCGCATGTCGAAATGTTTTGACGTCATAGTTACATTGCTAATAACATGACGTCACAGACTCGAGATTCCTTGAACGCTCCGCCCACTGAACACTTTGATTGGTTAAAATTACTAATAAATATTCATGAGGGAGTAGTCCCAGGGAGTAGCTCTGATTTTCCAGGGAGTAGTCCTCAGATGAGCACAATAGTTTCTTCTCGGGGAAATAGGCAGATTTATGGTATTAAGGTGGAATATCCCTCTGATAAGAGAGATAACTTTCTTCAGACATTTTGTCATGAAATTCAGTGAATTGTCATGTCAGAGTTTACAAATTTCATTCATGGAAACCATTATATATAAACTCAATCAAACTTATGCTATGGTACAAATGTTAATTTATAGTTTCTATTGCTAGTATGTACATTAATTATTTATAATAATTTACTTAAAACATTTATACTCAGTTCCTTTAAACAGTGTAAATTGAGAAATCTCTATCTCTTAAAGTATAATTCTTTTAATTGTACAGAAATTTCAGATGCAGTATTGTTTAATATAAACATTTAATTAATATTTTGTTTCATTAAAAAATATTTTCAAGGGCGATAGTGGAACGATAACTCTTGTTTATGGATGCGTGTTATTTTACATGCACAGAAAACAATTTGTAATTGTGATTTAAAAAGCAGCGCTTCAGTATGTTTTCTAATGGGAATTAGATAGGTATGAGAGTAAATATCATTTTTATATATACCTCATATTTCTAATTTAATTGTGAGATAAAAAATAATTAATCTTTCTATTTACCATATCAAATTTTTTTCACATCATGATTTGACATATTATTCATTTCTGAAAATGTAAGCAACGCTTCATACTTTAAACCATTTTCCATTTGAATTTAATGTTATAGTTGTTGCTGAAAATCAATGTCTGGATTTTTAAAAAATATGTCGTGAAATTTGGAGCAGAGGGATATTGCCCCTTAATTTTATATAGAGTAATTACAGTAGAGGTATAATAATCTGAAATATGGAATGCTCCCAAGTCCGAAGTCTTGAAATCTTGGCCTGATTTTTTTTCAATGTTTCAATAAAAGTGCAGTAAAACCGTTCAATACTTACTTGGCTCATGGCGAGCAAGGAATGCTTACTCGTCATAGGCGAATGATCCCACCTCTGGAATTTCCAGTGGTGTGCGCTTTATGCCCACTTCATAGATTTGTATTGTTTATAGATCTTGAGATTGATCACTTTTGGTTGTCTTCATCTTTTATATTGATCGATTCAGTGTCACTTCTCTATTTTTTTTCTATACGGTAGACATGTACATAAATTTATTAATTGTAAGTGATTAAGCAATCACTGTCTAGTTAGGAGGCTATGTCAGGGCATCAACAATAGTGGAAACATAGGATAATTTGCATAACGGGCGAAGCCCCTTATGCTTAAATTATCCCATGTTTCCCACTATTGTTGAAGTCCCTGACATACCCTCCTATCTATACAGTAATTCCTTATATTTCCATTTCATTGCCAAATAAAATTGTAGATTTAGACTTAAAAAATGTAGAGACAAATTTAGATTACATGAGGACTCGCCCACTGACGTCAGACACAAAAGAAGCTGCACGAGATTTACATGCATATTTGGCCTGCTTAGCGTCAAGAGCAGAGACAGATGCGCACGAGATTTGCATGCGTATTAGGTCTTCTTCGCTCCTGACCTATCGACGGCCTAATTTACATTCCGGTAAAATTATCAAGAAATCAACTCCGCTAACTTTCTAAGGGTTATCACAGAGAAAAAAAATTAGAAATGAAAATATATTTTTTTTTATTTCTGACCTGTCAGGCCATGTATGAATGATGAGAATTCAGGTTCTGTCCACAAGAGTGTCCCACTGCTGTCATGAACAGTATCCCGTTTTTGTGGATGGAGGAATCCATCAATGTGTTTATCCATGTCGTACACATGCTGTGCATCAACCGGACGAGATCCTTTAAGATACAAATTTAGTTAACTATATCTTTAGACCTATTCTGTTGAAATAAAGGCCTACAAGTCGAATTACAGAATATATTATGATAAAACATTATGACCTTTAGTGATTGTTAGTTATCAAGGTTCAATCAAGGATAACAGGGTGTACAGGGATTTACCCCAGGTTGTATTCCATACACCCTTCGGCCGAAGCGTGCATGGAATACAATCCGGAGTAAATCCCCGTAGACCCTTGATTCGACCTGGATTACGAATTTATATCCTATGTACTCATAAAAAAATTATTTGTAAACATCAGAGGCTTCTCAACTGTGTCTCAGTCTATCGATGATTTACTATGTACTACAACGCATCGTGACGTCATGTCATTTGCTTTCTATCATAGGAAAAACTGTGCATTGTGGTGTCACGTTTTACCCCCAGCAAAAATCGGGTGCGAAAAAATTTACAGCCGACTCTGTAACTAATTAAAGCCCGTGTTACAAGCTACATAGGAAATAATACTCTTCATTCACGCTTCGCTTTCTGACCTTCTTGCTGATAATCATGCTCAGTTTAAATTAAAAGTTATAATGGTGGTTGATTAATATGGTTGTATCTGTTCTGTTTATGAAATATACAAATAGCTGATGTGCTTAAAATATTTGTATAAAAAAAATGTTAAACATGATACCTGTTTTATGAATGATTATTTCTGTAAGATTTTGATATAATGAAGCCGAACCATCTCCATCATCAGTAGGATGCTGGTGAATCTGAGCTGTAAAAAAAGGTTAGATTTCTATTATATTCATATTGTGTCAGATACAGGTGTTAGTAAGTAAATTCTTCCATGTTTAAATTATAGTTTTAGATTGGTAACTTGCATATCAACATGATTAACTTGCATGTTGACATAAATATGTTGCATGTCTACATAATTATGTTGCATATTATCATAATTTATCTTGCATGTAGGGAGCAGAAATATGCCATCATATGTACACTGTATCTGACATCATAGATGCGAGATGTATCATTATTATGTGGACATACGACCTATTTATTTCAACATGATAACAAGATAATTATGTCAACATGCAAGATAATATTGTAAACATGCAAGATAATTATATCAACATGCGACTTATTTATGTTAACATGCAAGATAATTATGTCAACACGCCACTTATTTATGACGACATGAAAGATAATTATGTTAACATGCAAGATTAGTATTTTGATATATAACATATATTGGATGTTGACATAAATATGTTGTAACTTGCATGTTGACATAAATAAGTTGCACGTTGACATAAATAAGTAGCATATTAACATAATTATCTTGCATGTTAACATAAATAAGTTGCATGCCTACATTATTAACCCGCATGTTTACATAAATATTTTGCATGTTGATATACATAAGTCCCATGTTTACTTAAATACGTTGCATGTTGACATAAATAAGTCGCATGTCTACATAATTATGTTCCATCTTGTATCTACCGTGTCAGATTCGGTCGTCAGTACGGGTCTTTACCCATATTAAAATCAGATTCTCTGAAAAAAAATTTAACTTGTATGTCAACATACATGTAATTATCCTGCATGTAGACATAATTATCATGTATGTTTACGTAATTATCTTGCATGTTAACGTAATTTATCTTGCATGTAGGAGGAAGAAATAAGCCTGTATAGAAATGAAATTATATAAAAGAAAAAAAAAACTAGTATGTTTCAAAACTTACTGTGTATCGGTGCAATGCATTAAAGATATGTATGCCGTATTTTTGCACAGCTGAAACCAAACAAAAATTTCTGAAGTATGATAAGCTATCAAAAATGAAGCATTCTCTCAAATTAGACGAAATATTATTCGGTATTAACAAAGTACTGGTCAGGAAAAGAACACAATATTCTCATGCATATTTATAAAGGACTGACGTTTATGTTGGATCTGCGCATGTGCGCGGGAAAAGCATCACGAGAATCATCAGGTCGAGGAAACTATTTCGTGTGACGTCTGTTCAGCGAGGAACCAACAATACTGACAAATCGACCAATCAGCTCAATGAGTTGTATTTAATGCATTTATAGGTTACTACTCATGATCAGTACATAAATACTTCATGTGTTTTTCGAACAGGCTAGTTTTTTTTTAAATCGCTCTCAGAAAGACGTGTTACATTTCCCAAGCATTTACACGCTTAATGCAATATGTACATTATCATCTACAAATCCCATGCTAACATTTGCATACAAATGAACAATGCTAAAAATAAGAGTTAATTGCTACACTCTAATATACAGGTCCGTTTGTTTACAATTTCCCCGTGCTCTACTAACAGTGAAAAGACAATATTCCTCGGTACAAAAAGCAACGAACTCTGAGGTGTGCTCACGTATTGACATTGATTACAATGTGTACAACTTCGAAACATACGGCATGCTAACAAGAAAAACTGCATTTGTTTGTTAATGTGAGCATGGGAATTCTCAATTAGTAACTATCCTTCCTATTTTTCTAAAACAGGTTTTAAAGAATATGTAAATTGGCTTTCCAGCCGTCAATTGAACTCGCACCGTACAATTCCCTAAACCACGTGTTTGTAGTGAAAACGTAGTAGACCATCATGCTTTTCGGCTCATTCACGAGATTGGACCATTGTTTGCTGTGAGCATGCGAGACCACGTGTTCATGAATATTTCAATAAGAGGCGGTTTAATATCCGATTCGGAGAGAAAATAATTTTTACAAAATATTTCATAACTTTTAAAAGTGATGGAGTGGAATTGTCTTAATTGCAGAAATTACATAACTTATGTAACTTGATGAGACACCACACATATTTATTTCTTTAGCAATAAAACACTAATACGGCATATATATCTTTAACTGAGCATTTGTTAATCTCATGAAATAAGAAATACATGAATGTCGATCTAAATTGAAAGATACGCATGTGACCCTGACATTTCGAAAACTTTTGTTTAGTTTTTGTCAACCATACGTTCCTAAATGAAAAAAGATACTCTGCCTAAATTTCCTATTTTAAAATTAAAAATAGTGGATACTAGTATATAGTGTCTAAGCTTTATCACCCAAGTAAGCAAACATTACGTTCACGCATATAATAATACTACGAAAAAAATAAACTAGTATGTTTCAAAACTTACTGTGTATCGGTGCAATGCATTAATTTAGCATTTTTTAATCTCATGAAATAAGAAATACATGAATGTCGATCTAAATTGAAAGATACGCATGTGACCCTGACATTTCGAAAACTTTTGTTTAGTTTTTGTCAACCATACGTTCCTAAATGAAAAAAGATACTCTGCCTAAATTTCCTATTTTAAAATTAAAAATAGTGGATACTAGTATATAGTGTCTAAGCTTTATCACCCAAGTAAGCAAACATTACGTTCACGCATATAATAATACTACGAGTAATGATAAGGAAGCTTTTTTCAATTCATTGATGAAAATATTTTTTTCTCTCTTCTTTCTGGGCATGATCATACATTTCTTGCATGTGACCCTTATATTTTAAAAACTTTTGATTATTCAGTGTCAACCAAAAGTTCCAACAAAAACTGAATCAGAAAAGGTAATCTCAATGATTACTGGTATTTCCGAAATTGAAGATATATTTTGTATGCCTTCTAACTAAATATATTTTCTTTTTGGTCACATGACCGTTATAGATCGATACGATGAATAAATATTAGTGGATACTAGTATATAAGCTTTACTACCCAAGTAAGCAAACATTACGTTCACGCATATAATCATACTACGTGTACTGATAAGGAAACCGGCTTTCTTCAATTTTTCATTGACGAACATATTTTTTCTCTCTTCTTTCTGGGCTTGGTAGACCAATTTCTTGACTTGCGGGAGAATGAGGAGACGACGGTTTTTATGACATATTTTTTAACAAAAGAAAAATGATCAAGCCCTCACTTTGGTATAAGAAATGATATTATATACAAGTATGAAAGAAAGAAACCCCCCAGAATGTTTCAAAACTTACTGTAAATGGGGCAGTGCATTAACTGAGCATTGTTAATATTATAAAATAAGAAATATGTTAATCTAAAGATATGCATGTGACTCTGACATTTTAAACCTTTTTTGATTAGTTAGTGTCCACAATACGTTACTAAATGAATAAGATACTCTGCAATATTTTCCTATTTCTCAGAATGATATTTATATATTTCTATAAATATGCCTAAGTATAGTCCATCTACATGACTACGACTCACGGGCACTTGTTTCGATAAAAGTTTTAACCCACAGTAAAATAATTACCCAAGATATTCAAATCCGAATTAAACGGAGTATCCCCCACCCCAAGAATTGTTTTCATTTACACTTTCAGAGGAAATACACTGACAAACTGTTTATTCCTACGTCTTCTACGATAATTTATCTACACTATCATATATATGACTCGTTTGTATTCATTTTCTTTAGTCTGTAAACAGCCTCAAAACTCTACTCGCCGAGGGGAAAAGTAGAATTCAACCTTAAAAAAATAGTGTGTTCTAAGTTTCCAAAATAGCTTAATAATAAAAACATGTACAGAAGCAAATATGACTTATATGAATTAAAGGATTTAAACATACTTAAAATAATTTTTGATGTATTTATATTTACCTTCATTTAAATACATATCCTTCCGATTTTTCAATTAACAGCGACAGATTTCCCTGTTACATGAACAAAATAAGAACTACGGGCATCATTTAAAACAAGTTTTATCTTGGTTTGCCAAAAAAAAGAGAAGAAAATTTCAAAATATCCCATGACACATGGAAATCGAATAAAATAAGGTTTATATAAAGTGTTATCAAGATAAATACACAATCCTAATTTCATGACAATCAAAGTAATTTTTAAGGAAAATATACTGTAGCAAGTACATAACCCTGACGAATAATAACATCCTTGTTTTAGATGAGGCCTTCACATCGTTTTTAAGACCGACTTCGGGTGCAATCTATTGTGAGGCGACCTACATACAAAAGTCATGCCATTCCCATCCACATTCAGGTACATGTATATGTGAATGCTTACTGTAGCATTGTATGCTTCTTAATATCAATTCTCTGTAATTATCAAAATTGGTTGGCCACGCATAGAAAAACATTTTGATTTTTTTATAATAATTTTAAACAGCTATGTCATTAATTGTAAAATCTAAAGTGGGTTTATGAAAAAGACCCTTGGTTGCCATAGAAACGGGGTGCAAAATTCTCAATTTCGTTAATTTTGAAAAACGTGTACTTATCAAGAAAAACTGTGTCCAGAAATGAAAAGGGATAACTTAATATGTTTTCATTATTTAAAATTAATACTACAGATTAAAGTAATTATATCTGTAGTTTTAATTTAATCTCTCAATCATAAATGGCCATTTTACATATTATAACATATCAGACATGTGATTGGTTTAGTGGAGTTTTTGGAGGCTTTAAACAAAAAAGGCACACTGATTACAATTTAGTAATAATCAATTATGAAAGGCTGATATTTGATTGTATCAAAATATGTAAAATATTGGTGGGATACTAAAAGATGTAAAAGGAATTCAAAGGTAAAGATTACTTTTTTCTACATTTTGAGGCATTTTTTTGCTTCCTAATTACTTCCCTTGAACTACTCTCTAACGTTTGGAGGTACAATGTGTATTTAGTAAACAGCAATGAACATTTTCTGGCGAAAGTCGGAAAGATCTCATCAAAGTTTTACAGTCTGGAAGAAGAAAAGAAGGCTAGACATCTTAAACAATGAAGACAGAAGGTAAATTTATGTATATACTGAGCATTACAAAAATATCAAGATTAACAAATGCATATTTTCTTAATTTTATTTGCCTTACAATACACAGCTGTTTTACCGGTAGTGGTCAGTGGTCCTTATCAAATCAAGCGAACTATACCTTTTGACAGTTTGACTTTCTGACCTATGAATTAATTATTTTTATTAATAAATATGAATTTGAAGCATATAAACATCACTTGCTGATACAGCTGAACTCCCCCCCCCTCCCCCCGAAATATAAATGTCTATATAGAGATTGTTTAAAATCTGTGCCATTCAGTAGGTTTACTTTTTATGATGTGCTGAGAGAGACTTTTAAGTGAACATTATTTATCTTTGTAATATAAATTTCCACTTCTGTCAGTTTTCATTCATTGTTTATCCTATTATTTCAATTCTTTATTGGGCCATGGCATTAGGCACATATTTTACAGAATTGTGTTGTTAAAATATTTAACTAGAGCAAGTTTGTTTCTATAAAAAAAAGTGCATCAAACATTTATAATGTGTGAGCACAAGCATAAAGTAGCTAAGTTTTTTAAATAGTATTCTATATATCAACAAAATATGGTCATGTGATGTTCATAAGCAGAAAATAGGAAGACAGCATCTTTGTTTTGATGTCATTGTTTTATTTAATAGCTTCTATCTTTTAAACTTTAAATTTATTATATATATCCAAAACTGTACTATATGTATTGACAAAATAGATCTAGGTTAAGAATGCACTGGAAATATTGAGTTATTTTTGTTTATATAGACTCTTTCATTCGTCTGTGAAGTACCGGTACTGTATAATCTAAAGTTCAATTTTGTGTGAATAATAATAATCTTTTCAAATAGCAAACAGTAAAAAATATATATGTACACTTGTATACATATGTATTAGTGTTAAAACAAAATATTACCAGAGGTACTGTGAGCAATGAGCTCACTAAATGATACCCTCTGCCTCCCGTATGGTTATACCTGATGACAAATCCATGTTTTACCGTGGCCAGGAAACCCAAAATATGTGTCAAATCAAAAAGTAAAATAGGAGGTGCACAATGGCAATATGTAATAAAGATTCTGTGAAAGGTTCATTAAATTTCACTCATTGCAGTGGTATAAGAGGAGTTGCGAATAATAAGAGATGGGTACCCTAAAGCGTAACAGACAGACGGACGTACAGACAGATGGACGTACAGCTAGACGCACGTACCAATTACAGTATACCCTACCACTTTTCAAGCGGAGGGTATAATAAAACTATATACATGTACATGTAGAATATTCACCTCTGATTTATAATGATATTTGTTTTATACACACTGACCAATTGTTTTATAATATTCTAAACAAATTATTTGATACTCAGGCAAATATTCACTACTGGTAAGATGATCACACACATGAACATGTCTGTGTATGAATGAAATGAATTTTTCTTTTGATCATGTTCCTAGGAAAATAATTATTTTCATCATTTTTTCATCAAAGGATTTGCCATATAAGATGAATAAAGAAAAAGTAAGACCAGTAAACCAAAACAGGACAAAATAGGCCATGACTGAAGTTCAAGTGCATTCTGCAAGAAAGTGGACAACCTAGATTTTGTTCTTTTCAAGGTAACCATTCTTAAAATATGAAAGTAAATTAAGGACAGATGATACAAACAAAAAATGGATGCCTGGATTGGTATATATTTTTTGGCATAATTTAATTGCAAATTAATGATGCTATTAATAAATTTCTAGAATATTAAGAAATTGTAAACCTTCTGTGATGTTCAAAAGTCTGGCCCTCTTGAAACTATCCTTATTAATCTATACAAATATTTTTCACTTCAAATTCCATTTTTATGCAAATATGAATTAAAAATTAAAAAGTACTTGAAGAAAGTTATTAATTTTACTGATTTAAATATGACCCCAGTTGTTATTTTCAAATTCTTTGACAAAAGTTTGTTTGTATCATCTGTCCTTAAATTGTTAAAAAATATTTCAGTTTTATATCTAAATTTAAACCTTGCTTATTTCTTTTTTTTTAAACAAAATTTCATACCTGTCCAGTAACAGAAGAATTATTATACTAGAATAAAGAAAACAACTTTCTAAAGGATTACATACACATTTAATTAGCTTGAAATCAGTGTATATTGGAAAGTGCAGGAATTATTTACCATTGCAGGTTGAGAAGGGATGCCATATTTTAGGTTTGAAACCAGGCAAGTGAAAGCTGAATTCCAACCTACTTCAACATACTTGTACCCACTGTCTTCAAGATATCAGTGTTTGAGTTGTCAAAGTTCAAATATAATAGGAACATGTTTATCATATTATTTGATGGCATCCTCAAATCTTAAGCTGTATAACAATATGTTTTAGAACTTATCAAGCTTTATCCTGTACCTTGCCAAAAAAACTCAACTCAGCATAATTCTCATTAACTAATTACCAGGTGTTACTTGCGTATGTCAATGTAGGTCATTACTGGTACATGCCTGACCAACAAGAACTCTAAAATTGAAAAATCAGAGACAAGATTTTCAGAGCAGCAGAAACAGTAGAATTTGTCATGTAAATCTAAGGATATGTGCTGTAGTTGAGAACACATGTACTGTAAATGTTGCATATATAAAAAATAAAAAAAGCAAAAAGTTCTCTTGTTTTCAGAATTTATATTTACACGTGAAAAAAAAGGAAAGGAGATTAATATAGTTGGTGTGATGAGATGTTGGCAGGAACCTAGTAAAATGAAAGGAAGAACTTCCTTAAAATGATACTTGTGGGGGACAGTGTCTCATGGGGGGGGGGGGGGGCATTGTTTCAACTGACAGAATACAAAAGATCCATTGCAAACCTAATTATTAATTATATGCCAAACACTATGTTTAAAGTTTTCCATTGTTGGATATTTATGTTTAAATCCAAGATAACTCACCCAAGAGGATGTGATTTTTTTCTAAACCAATGTAATTTTTCTCAAGTTTAAAGCCGTGTTTTATAAGATCAGAAGGGGGGGGGGGTAAATTTTTGACTTCATTCAAAGTATCTGTGGTTTGCAGTTGCCCATGAATTTAATAAATAATTATACAAAGTAACAAGTTGAAATGAGTAAAATATTATGAATGTCCTGCGTGTTTTAGTTTCATTTCAGAATTTTTCAAGTTTGACCAAATCTTGAAAAAGTAAAAGCCACAAGGTTTTATTTGACATACCATTACAAAATGCATTATATTTTTGCAACATCATAAAGATGCAAATTTAAGATTCCAAAAAAATTAGTTCACATTCACATTTAACTCATTACACAGGTTTTATAAAAGAGTAAATAAGTGTAGTTTTGGGAATATTGTTAAGTTAAACGCAGCCATTTTGGTTAAAAATCCGGTATTCATGTCTCCATGGTAACAAATCTTGCATTCCTGTTTCCATAGTAATAGAGAATGGATAGGGAAAATTTTATTTCATATTAGTTTCAATCTAAGGGGATACTTTCAGGAAACTTGAAACATGCCCTGGTTAGTCTACATGTACTTCAAAATTGTCAATTTTATGGAGGAGGGGGGGGGGGGGGCATTTTGTGCAGATGTTCACAGTTCTATCTTGGAACATATTTACATGTATTAATGCACTTGGAAATGGGATGTGAATATTTTTACATGACACTTCTCCTAGAGATGGACTAATTTTACTGTAAATCACGTAAAAACAGGTAGAAAGGAACATTTCTTTTCTATATGAACTTAATGAAATGTGCATATGTTCCTTGAAATACGGAAATTTTGCAGATTTTGGGTAATTTTTCATCAGCTTTTTAAAAAAAATGTTTAAGTGTCCCATAAATATTTTAATGTGTTTAAACTAACTCATGTACCATCTATACAATGCACTTTTTCCTGAATTTCAAATCAGTGTGCAAAGTATTAAAAAATTGCTTTGAAAAAGGGTCTAAAATGGTAATTTTCTCATTTTGGCAAAATGCCAAAATCCCCAAAGCTATGCGTTGTTAAGCCATTATGTAGAATTACAGTTTTTAAAAAATTATGCTGTTATACTAGAGAGGAATAATGGTAGTTTTGAAACAAAAGTAGATTTTCCCATTCTCTCGTTTCTTTTAAGCTCATTTTTATTCAGTAAAACCTACAAAATCACGTTTTTTGGGCAAATTTTAGGAAGAATTTACAGGGGAAACAATAGGTGCCGTTACCATGGCAACGAGACATTTTTTGAAATAAAGAAATATAAAACCATTAATGATGTGACAATGTGAGTACACACAAAAAGTTTCATAGAAATTGAAAATGTATCGTGGCCAAGCATTATTGATATTGTTTGATAATTACAGAGAATTGATATTAAATATCCACACATAAATAAACAAATACTGACGCATGGAATCACATGATATGACAAATATAATGGGTTTTACAATGTACCTATTAATATAATTAAAATACATTTGCATACTTATTTATACATGTATATATAAAGATACACATAAACATCTTACAGGTAATTATCACCTGAAGATATCTGTCAAAGGCGGACTTCTTTTCGGAAGTAGGCGACCTTCATGGCGTTTCCAGATCATCCGTATCCCGAGTAGTACATACAGGTTGTTATACTTCATTATTTTAACTTTAAAATAATGTTAACTCTATTTTTATTAAAAATTATTGCAGGCACGTAGCATCGTTGATGTGGAGATTTGACCCCTTGAATGTTTTAACATTTTGTCCCCTGCATTCACAAATGATAATAAAAGAAAAAGTGAACAAGTTAACACATCCCACGCCCCTCCCCTCTTAATATTTGACAATGTCATGCAAAATAAATGGCATGTTACACATTAAATACACACAAGTAATTCAAAATGAGGTATAATTCCAAAGTAATCGTTACATGTCTTAAAATTCCGTGCAATTATTGAGTCTTTATTTTGTACAGATAAAATGAATATAATAAAAAGTACCGAAATTCCCAGAAAAAAAGGAAGCGGAATTTCTTTGTATTATGCGCCTACAAAATGTGTTCTCAATAACTGCAAAGTTTCACGAAATTAGGTTTAGCAGTTTCAGAAAAGTGACAATTGCAAGTACTATGGGGTATACTGATAATAATAATTATAATAATAATATGTACATGTTTGTATACACTATCCTTCATGTTTCTACATGCCTGTAATACATTTTATCAGTTGTACATTTCCTTTTCAAATATTCTTTATATATATCATTAAGGATTTTAACGCAGATTCATCATATTGTTATACAGTGTGCAGCGCAATAAATACAACAGTGGACAACATTAAGTTCCAGTTACTGCCAATGAATTACGCCATGTAAAATCTGAGTTCTATGACATTGCCAAATTTCCAAATTGCGTTGGTGCAATCGATGGTACTCTAATCCCAATTAAGGGCATGAATGGACCACAGGAGCCTGCTTTCGTATGCAGAAAAAACTTTCATGCCTTAAATATTCAGGCCGTAACAGATTCCAATATGAGGTATAAACGGTATTGATTAAAACATAAATACTAGCACATCACTTTTTTGTAATAGAAATACCCTTGTATACGCCAAAACTTCAACAGGAGAAAATTAAAATATTTAATATATCGTCAAAAGGGTTTTATGAAATAACAACCTTTGAAAATGTAAATGTTGTCAATTTTAAAATAACTTTATTGCACCAAATATAACCAAACAAATATAACAAATATAAGAATGCTAATTGTTTGCTTACATATGCATAAAAGATGAAAAATTGGTTGATATTATTTCAGATTTCTTCAAATCAATACCTGTTTTCCCGGGGCAACTCACGACTCTTTCGTTTTGAGCAACTCGGGATTGTCAGGTGTTATGGAACATCTCGAAGGGGGTGGGTGGTTACTTGGGGATTCTGGCTACCCTCTCAAGGAATGGCTCTTAACGCCATTCTTATCCCCAGCCAATCAACACGAAGTGAATTACAACGATGCCCATGGAAAGACTCGTGTTGTCATAGAAAAATCGTTTGGGGTATTAAAATCCAGATTTAGGTAATTTCGTTAAATCACGCATTCTCAATTTATAGTCTCATTTCGCTTTAAATAATGTACCGCGTTTTAAGTAATATAATATTTCAAATAAAGTTTATTTTCTGCCACTCATATGAACCATTGTTGGTTGTTGATTAAAATGCAACAATTGTTTGTTGTAGTTTGAATGATTGTCTTAGGAGAAAATCACATTTTATAGCAGAAATCGATATTTACGTTACTGTCGCCGATCATCGTGTAGTTTTTATTTTAAACCAAAAAGAAGTTTTAAATCATTTACATATCTTTTTCTTAGTAAGATTGCCGTACATTTGAGTTATATTTTCTGAATATCACACCCTTCACACATATGCGTGTCACAATTTTTTTAAAAGTTTTAATATATTTATCAAATTTTGATGTCACCGCAGAATTATTACTTTTCTATTTGGAAATTCAAAAGGACTGGAAGGATTGATAAACTGACTCAATAGGACTAAGTTGTTACTTTTTAACATCATGAACACCCTTTCTATTGCATGAAATGGTAAAAAGGACACTCTTTATCTGTATTTATGAACAATAGCCCCCCTTTTCTTATAAGTCCAATGGTTAAAAAGTTCAACGATATTTACGTGTTAGTATTTATTCACAAATTAAGTAAGAGAACTACACTGTTCCCTACGGGTCAAATTGCCTTACACTCAAGCACTAGAATATGCCTTTAATTAACAGTGGAATAATTGAACAATGGCATTAAAAGTTATGATAAATCTCAGAAAGATATTTACGTTACCGATATTTACGTTACCCATATTTACGTTACCATGGTTTAAAGTAAATAAGTATTAATTTCCAAAGCTGTTTGAACAGATTTACGAGTGAATCTTTATTATGTAAATACTAAGAACATGAAGAAATATACACGGTTTCTTAAAATGTCATTTTTTCTGTAACAAGAGTGCAGAAATGCAAATTGAAGTGCACATGTAAAGATGAACATTTTTCACTCAATATCTTGTGCATCCGTGTGATTTGAAAATTGAATTGACATAATATTATTCACAAGTAGAATTGTGGTTTAATGATTGAATCTTTCCATTTTGAGCAATTGCTTAATATTGCATAGTTTCAAGTGTAATGCACGTTATCATTCGGAACGTAAATCTGAAACAAAACTTTCTTCAAGTCTGTATTTTGCTGTTTGTTTGAAATGATAGTGTATTGTCAACTTAAAAAAATGGTTATATGCACCTGAATTCTATACCAAGCTTAACATTTTGAAGGAAAAAAAAATCATTTTTGTACGAAATATAATTCCAGAAAATAGGCGCTGCGTTGCATGCAGTGTGTGTGTGTGTGGGGGGGGGGGGGGGTTCCACATCGGGTAAAAAAAAGAGGTGTTGGGTGTCTAGAAACTGGTTGAAATTGAATCCATTTCCATTTTTGATGCTTTGCAAGAAATACAAATATTAACATGTATAAAATTGTGCACCTAATTTTCCCATTGGAATTGTTGCTTAGACATATAACGTATGCGTCCATGCTTTAATGGTACTGAAAATTCAATTTACGTTATATGAACATAGAATGTATATTGCTCTATAGAGCACATGTGATATGCAACTTAATTATTGACAAACCTTTTAAGGGTGGTGGGCGATCTTTGTTTAATTTTTGAGATTTGACGATAAAGTTTTCACAAACAATTAAACATTTCAGACATGTAGCAACAGCGGGGGGGGGGAGCAGCCCCCCTACCCCCCCCCCCCACTTTTTTCTCCAACCTTACTTCAACTATAGTAAATGTTCAGTGAAAGGCTAATTGCCCCCCACCCCCGCTAATAGTGATGTACGGAAAATGTAGTGTAATAATTGGTACTGAAAGTAGTTGGCATTGAAAAAAGTTCGCCTCCCCTCCCCCTCTAGGATTTTCGACTTTGTTCAAGTTTTCTCACCCCCCCCCCTTTTTTTTTTGCCTTGTCAACTTTTCAGGTAAGTAAAAAAATTCTCGCCCCCCCCCACTTTAAAAAACGATGCTACGTGGCTGCCTTTGAAATAATCAACAGATTAAATGATGGAAGGGGGGGTTATGAATTACATGAGTCCTCTATAGATAAATCATAACTTGAATTTTCAATTCAACCCTTTTGTGAAGGTGTATATATAGATAAGAAAATTCATAAAAATCAATAATTTGAAATAATATAATCATTTTTCCCCGAATATACTTTTATTTTTGTATGATATCTATGTGCGATATTTACGTGATATCTAGCAAACACTTCGTAATCAGGTAATGGCGAAATATTTAACTTTCTTATATTCTAAATAATGTGCGTTTCTCTGAGCAGATTAATAAGGAATCCATTAATGTAGCATTTTAGGGAATATTGTCAATATTAAGCTTATCATCGGATGTGAAAAAACTTGTTAAAATAAAAAGAAAATAATTTCATTTAAATGGAAATTATGCCTGTTTTATTTTTACTAATAATTGAATCAAAGATTCTACACCCCTTTTACAAATGTGCTTAAACGGTTTCATAAATGTTTATAGTTAACAAAATTTGATGTCTATTATATTGATTTTGTATTTTAAAAAAATTCTTTCGTTTCCAAATATGGCTTTTCAACATCACATAAATATCTTGGTGTAAAATTGGCCCTCCAACCGCTTTTATTTCGAAGGAGGCCAACAAAACACAGCATGAAGTATGTAAATTAAATTGCGATTTTTAATAACTATACACTTTCATGTTTCAAATGACGTATAAAAGTGTTAATTTCAGTTCACTAAATTTTTTGACTTTTCCCAAGATCTAATTGGTACTATAAATTGAGAATGCGTGTAAATATCTTTATATGTCATATTTGCAAGCAAATATTTTATTTCAAACGTTCAGTACGATAAACGCGACCTTAAATTTTTTTTATTTGAGAAAAAAATGTATATCTATTGCAACCATAAATCAACCTTGTTACAATTTTATTGTGAATTCATTTAAAATTCTGTGGGCCAGTTTTCTTAGATTGTGGGTTTTTTGGTTATTTGTGGAGATAATTTCGTGTATGGGTCGGTTTTCAGGTTCAGTAACAAAGATATCTCTTTCTCAATTTCCTATGAAGATGTAAATTCGTGGTGGTTTGTGGGCGGGGGGGGGGGCTACCAACGAATATCACGAAAATTGAGCCACCACGAATTCTGATGATTCCACAGTATTTACATTCAAGTAATAAATCTTTGCAGGTGTTTACATCGAACTGGAGGAGTACTCCCCTTTTCACCAAGTAGATGTTCTCAAATTATTCAATGCTGTATCCGGCTTCATAATTTAGCTGTTTCAGAGAAAGTCCCCTTACTTGAGGGTGGGGTTGTACAGAACATCAATGACAATGCCTTGTTTAACGCAAACGCACCAAGGAGAGCACAGGATGTGCGCATTCAAGTTGCAAATTTATTTTAACAATTCATCTATTCATTAAATCACACACTTACATTGTAATAAAGACTACTTTATCATTTTGTGTTCAAATTTATTAAATGCCAAATTTGTTTTCAAATGCCGCCGCTATTCTCTCTAGGGCATCTGCTTTTCTCTCCTCTGCGATGGCTCTTCTCTTCTTCACTCCTATCAAATTCAGCATAAACTCAGCGTCGGGGTCGCTGGCCGTGTCTTGATTTTTAATGAAAAGTTTTATAATCAGAACAATGTCAATTGAAACAGAAGAAAATCAAATAAAATCATATGTGTAATGTGAATATTTAAAAGTGCATGAATGATGTTGAAACAGTTCACTGGGGTTTTTTTCTTAACAAACGTAAAATTACGCGAAAATTAAAACTGAAGGAATGTTTAATACATTTTTAATTCATTTTCAATTCATTTTCATAGCGTTGGCATTGTTTCTTTTTTACCTTTACGTTTAGATCCATACAGAGTTGAAGCAAAGAATGTGTCGGTGGAAGGCCCGGACACATGTACACTTGGAGCTTCTTCCGGAACGTCAACTTCTTCTACTATATACATGTACAAACATACATTTTTTAATTTGAAAAAAAAATCAATATTTCAAATCTACACACTTATGTGTTCCGCGTGTGAAGA